ATTATCATTATCATTATTATTATTATTAGTATTATTATTATTTTTTGTGTAAAGGCCTTTACAGATTGTATTACACCTATAGAGAGATCTTCATAAGAGAACTTGCAGATTCTGGAATAAATTGCCGAGAATAGAATATGAAGAAGAACTGACGTGTGTTATCTTGGCATGAGCATGAGCATGATGGGATTGAGGATAGATGGAATGCGATACGATACGATACGATACAATACGATACAATATACAATACGATAATTACCCATGGGATATGCGCGATGGGGCCTGCGGGCGTGAACTTCTGGAAACGCCTCCCTCACCCTTCCGGCGGACATGACAGCGAAAACGAGGCGAAAGTGTCAATGCGGTTGTATGGTTGATGCAAAAGGCCCAAAAAAAATGAAAAATAAAAAAATACACTTGGACGAAGACCGAGGTTGTTGCTTCTCCTATCCAATGGGGTGTCCTTTTGCTCTGCTAACCCTTAATTACTATACTGGAGTAAAACGGTACACTCTTTGCTCTGTGCTCTTTGCTCTTCGCTTGCGCTTTGCATATATACATATATATATAGGTATGTGAGGATCGTCAATGTTTCACTTTTTCTTCATGACATTCGAACAACAATCTCATCTCACAAGGAGAATCACCCTCACACACACCTTTCGCTACCATCACTTATTCGACATCTTACTCACTTCTCTCCAAGAGAAACAAAACCCCCCCGGGGAAAAAAAAGCAAAAAAGATGGAATCCAAATCCGTCCTCCTCCGCAGTCTTCTAAACCACCAATTCTTCAACTGGACCTCCCCCCTCCTCTCCCACCTAAAGTCCAAGATCAAATCAAAATCAAAATCAAGATCAAAATCAAGATCCGATAAAAACAAATCTCCATCACAGCAAAAGAAAAACAAGAAAAAGTCAAAGTCAAAGACAAAGGAGCCCGAGCCCGAGCCAGAAGCCAAGCAAACCATCCTCATCACCGGTCTAAACGGTTACCTAGCCGGCCGGACCGCCGAACTCGTCCTCCGAGAGGGCTACCGGGTCCGCGGCACCGTCCGCAACCGGACATCCGGCGAGGCCGTCAAGACGGCTCTCTGCCGTCTAGGTTTCCCCGCCGAGGATATAGATGTCGTCGAAGTGCCTGATATGTGTCGACAAGAGGACCTCGACTCAGCAGCTAAGGGTTCGTAATTCCACATTCAACTCAACTCGCACCTGACTTGAAAAAGAAGAAATAAAAGAAATAAATAAATAAAAAACTAACAAAATCCACCTTGCTCAGGCTGCACTGCTATCTTCCACCTCGCCGCCCCCATGTCCTCAATCTGGACCCTCCCCCCCTCAGAAATCATCCGCATCTCGACCGAGAGCATCACCGCAATCCTCAACGCCGCCCAAAATACCGGTCCAACCATGAAGAGCGTAGTCTTCCTCTCCTCCACGGCGGCCGTCTTCGACCTGCCGCTCGAAAGCCGCCTCTACGCCGAGCACGACTGGAACCGCGCCTCCGAGCTCATCTTCGCCGAAAAGGGCGACCTGGAAACCGGTGGCTTCCACGCCTACCTCGCCAGCAAGACGAAGGCCGAAAAGCTGTTTTGGAGATTCCGAGACGAAAAGCAGCCTTCGTTTAGCATGACTACGCTTCAACCTACGTAAGTAATCTTCTATATATATATATTTTTTTTCTTACCCCTTTTTCCCCACCCTTCTTTCTCCCCCCCCCCCCCCCCCCCCGAACCTCCCATTCCTTTTTTTTTCCTCTTTTTTTTTTTAACTCTCACTTAAACTAACACCCCCATGCCACATCCCAGCTACTTCATAGGCCCCCCCTTAATCCCCTGGAACTCTCCGCACGACATCCCCTATTCCAACCAGAACATCTGGGCCGTGGTCTCAGGCCAGGACATCCCCGGCCCCATGCAGATCTACAGCGACACCATCGACATCCGTGACGTCGCCCGCATGCTCCTGTGGTCCGTCACCCACCGCGCCGACGCCGACGGACAGCGATTCGTATGCTCGTCCGCCGTCGGCGGCGGCCAGGCCATCGCCGACATCCTCGCCGCCCGCATGCCGCACCTCCAGACCCGACGAGGCCGGCCAGGGCACGACTATTCCCCCGACTTTCGACCCCAGGATGGCGTCGCCGGCTTCGACTCCGGCAAGGCCCTCGCCGCGACAGGCTGGGCTTGGATGCCGTATGAGCAGAGCGTCGTTGACATGGCGAGGTTCCTCCATCACGAGTACATTATAAAGCCCGGCAAGGTGTGCTTTTAAAAAATCTCAAGTAGGTAGTTTTATCGGATTGAAGATACATTTTCTAGGGTTTCGCTATCTTTTTGGCTGGAGATTGGATAGCTTGCAGGCTGCTGGCCAGCTTGAAGCTTCTTCCAAGAGACTTATGTAAATCGCTTGATGATAAATCGCTTGATGAAAAAGGAAAAGAGCAAAGGAGTTGGAACCACTATGCCGTCCCAGGGATATCCCGGGGCCCAGGAGTCGTTCATCTTGTCGGAGGGTCACTAGATATTGAGATAGACTCCGTCCTGAATGATTGACTGTAAATTTGTATTTATTAGTTGTGTTGATGATAAAGAAACAGGGAGAAGGCAATAGTAACGGTATCGATACATGAGGTACTCCGCGTCCACCGACCCATCACTATACTGTCCCTGGGATACTGGAAGGTCGCGGTATTCGTCCGGTCGCTTGGGCACGCAGAGACGAGTGTAGACTCTATCCGTGGTGGATTGAAATGCTTGCATCGTGTTGATTTGTCCAAGAGAAGCTAACAGCCAAGGCCATGAATCCTCTGTGATGCTTCATATGTCTCCGTATTCCTATACTATCCCAGGCATTCTGGGCAGTCACATTGATCGCAGTATCGCTTGACATGCAGGACGAGTGCAGACTCTATCCGTGACGAGTGGAATTGCCTGTATATTGATGATTGGGTAAAGAGAAGCTGAGGCTACAGTCGCTGCCTCCGCTAGCACCTCGTGCATGTATTTCCATTGATTCCCTGACATCCTGAGGATATCCTCATGAAGTCCTTGCCTCCTTGATGTCTATCCGATATCCTTCCTGCTCTCCTGACGTCCTCAGGATGCCAGTATAATTCCCATCCTCATGATATCCTCATGACATCCTGAGGATGTCAATATGGTACAGTAGCTTGGCCGTGGTATAATGGACACACAAAGGTGACAGGCGCAAAATGATGTGTACAGCAACCATCCGTGGATTGTGGTGTCGAACCGGAATCATCTTGGGGCCGTCTAGGGTCCGCCCGAGTTATGTGGTAAATTGTTGGTAGTTAGCAGGACCGGAACAACCGCTCTATATGAGCCACGACCCAGGGCGTCTCTCCATGAATCGTCATCACTATCAATCTATATCAGCAAGTTTGAATGCGTAAAAGGCAAATGCGAAACTCGCCACTCACGGTCGGTCATCTTCTTCGTTGCATGAGCTTGATCATTCCAGCATCCAGCGTCAATTGGCTGAACCGGAAAGCCCGTGTCAAGACGGTCACCTTTCGCAACACTCGCGGTGGTGAGTTAGACCACCGTGCTGCGTTGCGGATTCTGTGCCTCGAGCACTGAACTAGATAGTTTATAAAAGCCCTGGGCCGAGTTCCATAATGCAGACGCGAGCAGCAAAGCCGGATGCCAAGAGAATGAGATCGCCCGAGAGCTTAATATCTGATCTGAGTCACTAAGTGGTGGGTGGGGGAGAAACAGTGATACTCATGAGAACGAGAGCGAGAGGAACCCGTTTATATAGATGGATGTGGGAGATTCCTGCTATCTGGATCTCGATGATCATGCTCCTTCTCTGTGTAGGTGCCTAACCAGGCAAGTAGTAACTACGATATACCAAGAATGTAAGCGCCATAAAAACAGGACGGAACTGAAAGCAAAAACTATCAGGGAAAGTCCAAACTCCAAACCACTGAGTCGTCATGGCCGCGAGATCGGACATTCTAAAAGGGAAAGGTTACCATGTTTATTATGGGTCATCACGATCTTGATCCTGACAAGGGGCATCCAATGACCGACAACTCAAAGCGCTTTCTTTATCTCCTAATGACAGCCGTCATAATGCAGGAACAGCTGACGATCGTGTGAGCTGGAAAAGGTGTGATGGTGGGCAGAGAATTCACAGTTCACTAACACCTAGACTCTCGCATTTGGTTGAAAGTGTATCTAATTGTGAAGGTAGGGTACCCTTTCTCCTTGTCTATTGTAACCGACATTCTGTCGGCTCCGAAAACGACCTCTATTCTTACACGACTTGGGCTCTCCGTAACAGGCTATAGCAGGATACATACTGGAACTGGTATGATAGGCATGGGATTGTTTTTTTCTACGACCTTGATGCTTTTCAAAATGCATGTTCTGACATTTTTGTGTACTTAGAAAATTTAGTCGCGCGATCCCCCCGCATCGCTCGGTCAAACGGGCGGCGCCGGACCGGACCCGCATGGCCGGTGTTAGTTCGGCATCGCGGCGAGATAAGACCGGTCGGCGGCCGCAGCTAAGGCATATCCTCTGTGTGGCTACAAAATGCAGCATGAAAAGAAGAATAGCCAAGTCGGTTGGTGAGCCCTGGCGAAATCCAAACTGAAGACTTTGGGCGAGGCACGGGTACTAAGAACTGACAGCGGTTAGATAACCAAGGATCCATGACACGTCTTGTAGTTATGCGTGAAGTACATGTGACAGAAGTACGAGACATAACTACCTACCGGTATCGACAGTAAAACCTGAGTGGGGCGACCGAAGCAAATCCCATCCCATCCAATCCCTAGACACACCGCATTCCTAACGGTCAATGACTCAATTTTCCAGGTGATTGATGCGGTTGGTTCACCATCATCATGGAAACCGTGGCTTCGGAACAGAGACACCCAGTTGGCAATCCCCGATCCGTAATCCCCGATCCGTAACCGATCCGCGCGCTTAAGGCGAGTTGCAACCTTCCAGTGGCAACAAACTGCCCTGGTAGCTCAATTGGTTAGAGCGTCGGACTTTTACGGACAAAAAACACCTTGTCTGTTACAGTTCCGAGATCCGAAGGCTGCGGGTTCGACCCCCGCCTGGGGCGACGCTAATGTTGGCGCTTGCCGTTCATTTATCTTTTTTTTTTTTTTTTCATTTTTTTTCATTTTATTTTTAGTCTAGGTAGTGATGTTTGTTCTCGGTCCCGATAGATATCCCACACCCCCCCGTTTTTTACGCGATGGAATCATACCGGTTGAGGGCTTGTTTCAACTTTTCAGCAAGTCCATCGTTCCATCCTCATTTGTTAGGTGTGTAACTGTAAAGACGATTGTCACTTCCGCATCTTACATTCACTGTGTCGTCCACATGCACGCGAGTCAGAAGGCCTATCTAGGTTAGGCCTTCTTGTCGTCACTGCGGTCGCGCTGGTTGCGCCGGTCGCGGAAGTTCCCGCCGTCCTGACTCCTCACGTCTACGCACGTCTCAATAATCCCGCAAACCTCCAATCAATCATTTGTGACCTAAGCAAAGCAAAGCACGACCCAAGTTCTGAGCTGTAACTTCTTTACTCTCTCTTGGCAACTCGCCGTGAATCATGCATCTCGTCGCCTACTTACAAAGCCCTCGTCTTGTTCCTATGAGTGTTTCCCAAGAAGCGGTAGTCCAGCCCGGGTGTATGTCGCAGCGAGCTCTAAAGCTCCAATATAAGAGGGAATACGAGGCACTCATCAACAGTCAGGGGGGCAAGGCCGTCAACGACCTACCGAATGGAGTGGGGAGTTGCTCGACAAGGTCGCTGGAGCTAACAACGCGATGCCGACATCACTGAAGTGCTCAAGCTAATCGCCAACTTGGAAGAAAACTCTCGGCAATACCCGCCCAGCGTACCAGACGACCGCTACTGGATTGAGGCAAGAGGTGTGTGTGATATGCTTAGCATCATCACCTCTAGTTCCAATCCAATAGCGATCACCTGGAGCCGTAGGGCGTTATTCATGACCTGATTACTATGAGCGTTTCTGAACACTATAGTCCAGGCTGGATGAGTGTCGCAAAGAGCTGTCCCCAAGTCTTCCGTGAGCTTTGAATGTTTCGGTGCTGTCAGCACCAGTGCTGTAAGCTTCCTGATGACCTTGTTGAGCCCACTCCTCACTCACTTGGCTGGGCCCTTGAGGGTATTGCCTCCTGGAGTGTTGATTAACGCCTCGTATTCAATCTTGTATTGGAACTTTAGCGCTGGTCGCGACGTGCGCTTGGCCTGGACTGGTTGTCCGGGACTACTGCTCTTGGGAGCACTCATAGTATGTACCCAGATCATGGACAATACTTTCCAGCTAAGTGCTCTACTCTCCTGAGCATCACAATGACACCGTCATTGCAAGCGGTGCAAACTCCGTTTCTCTTCCTTTGCCTTGAAAATGGCCCAGACAACCCAAGACAATATACTTAAACTACTAGTTGTTGCCATTCTGCTAATTCGACACCGTTGACCCGTTGTTATAGTAGTATATGGGCTCCAGCGGTCGGCCACTCCGTTGACGGGTAAACAGCGCCGCCACCCCGGGATTCGCTAATAACGTCAGATCAAAGGAGATCCTGACAACAGCAGTATTCGTGATATCAGTGTGTCGAAGACTCAGTAATGTCCTACTGGAACATCCACACCAGGCTCTTCAACCGTCTTCCAAAATGCGTGCATCATCCCTGATATCGTGATGTAACGGCCCCGCTGATGATGATTTTCCGGAAGTCTATTAGCTCGTGAACATGCTTTACACGGCGTTCGGGGCGCACGTTGTCGCTGTGATGCGCGACGGCACGTCCAATGACACCGACGTGGTATGGGGCTGATGGCATCAGGATCGATACGGCATCAATCGCTCGTGCCTGGATCGAGATAAGGAAACACGATATCAGGCGAGTCACACCGTCCACGCAAAGGCTATGTATGGACTCTGTTCCCACCTGAGAAATCGTCCAATGCAACATTTTGGTATATTTGGTTTTAGCTTGAGTGTGGGATGTCCTGAATCCTTTCGATTGCTTACGGCTACGATTGTCTCGAGATTTCTAGCCGAATCAGCGCCGAGGCGGCACCATAGTCGCTTTCCTCGCCGTCTAAGGTCTATTGGGTAACATAGGATAACGGATTTCACGTGAAGCAGACATCCAACTCTCACCGACATCACAATGCTCATTTTGGTTACTGGAACGTTTTGTCATTTCTTGTCAAAGCATTTCTCAGTTATCTAATCTAAGCAATTAATCTCTCTCGACTCTCGGTCTCCCCGAAGTCAAGTGTCTAACCGGTCTCCTAGACAAGCTCTCCTGCATCCTTGATCCAGTCGCCGGAGGGCTTGGGTGGCTTCTTCTCATCTTCATTGATGTGGTTGGCTGCATCGTGCAGCCAGTCAAGAGAGTTGTCGTTACCGCCTTCCTTGTTGTCACCGCCGTTGTCCTCGTCTTTGCCTTTCTGGTCGCCCTTGTCCTCTTGGGGGTTCTCAGGGTTGGGCTTCTTGCTTTCTTGCTTGTCGGACATTTTCACTTGCTTGTTGTTTCTAAAGCGTTGGTAGAAGACTTCGGGTGCTACTAGTTGTCGATGAGAATCTTTAAAGGTTAGAGTTGGTTTCAATGTCTCCGGTTCGTAGCTTTTATAGTTAGTTATACGACAGCAGATCCTGTTTTGTCAGCGGCTCACTGTTGACTCACAGGAATACGGTCTCGCTGAGGTTATTCGCGATTCACTTATATTGCCTTGAGTGTGTCTTTGTTTCAAGGGCAGCTGAACAATGCTTGTGTCGCGTTTCTTTTGCGATTGTTCTGCTTGGACAATGGCTGCCGGCTTCCTTTGACGCATCAATAGTGATTGTGGTAGGTGGCAGGTTCACGCAAAGAAATTGACGTACGGAGATCCATTGTTCTAGGTATTCACTCTAATCCAACGACCGATTCATCTTGGATACCGAGTCGGCGGTGCAAAGCGCTTGCTGAACAAAGCTGTGAAAATCACGGGGAGTTCGGTGACAGCGCGTACAAGGGTAGTCGTGGTACGCGCGTAACGAGCACGATGATCATTGATCTGTGACTTGGATATATCGGGAGGAAAAAGAGGAAAGGATGTGAGTCTAAGGATCATCCTACCTAGGGAATACACGGGTGCTGTTGTTAACCTCGGAAGTTCAGTGACGCGTCCTCAGGATTGCAATCATTGGCCCTGCTCGCGTCGAGGAGTTCCTCTTTCAAAATCCCATCTCCCGGATGTGACATTCTGCCTTCCTCTACCTAAGCTTTACCATATCTCCCTCATCCTTCCCTCATTCATTCAAATCACTCTTCCTCTTGCAATGTGTCATGCTGGGCGAACAGTTCGAACAAAAGATTTGTATAGTTAGTCTAGGATCCAAGGAATGGCATCAAATCTATTCTACGTTTTCTTTTTCGTTCAGTCAACTGCTTCGTCGACGGTCATTGGCCACGAACGACCTAGGTTAGAACTCGTGATTTCATACCAATCAACTAGGGTACCGGCAACAAGGTCAGTTTGGAACTGGCCCGGCGATAGATAGATATATAATGCGAAGGATACGGACAAAGGGGCACGTACGACCATACCTACTGGACTACTCGGGATCCCGTCCGCTCTCCCATAGATAAGCCGGTGAGGGCCGGATCAGTAGTTGGGTCGGTGACGACCAGCGAATCCCTGGTGTTGTACGTTTTTGTTTGTTTGTTTTTTATTTTTATTTTTTTTTTTTTCATGTCAATTGGTTGAGAATCCCCTCCCGTCTGCAAATAGTATCCTTCCTAGCCCGGGGCGATGAAATAGAATTCAGAATTGAGAGATCAAGAATGTGATCTTTTGGGCAGTGGATTTGTGAATCGTGCGGTGATGGTAGTAGGTATCAAGGTACAGTACAGCGGGAGTCGCCTTCTGTTAGACGGGCATTCTGTATTTACCTACCTACTTGTATCTAGGTATCTAGATAGATGGAGCGAAGCATGCCGAATAAGTAGGTAGGTATCGGTAGTGTGCGCTAACCTAGATAAATGACTTTTAGCTCTAGTTGGTCATCATCGGGGTGGAAACCTTGAGAGGATCCTCGGGCGCAAACGAATGCTTTTAAGTATATCAGCTTGGGATAAATTTACTTTTTTTTTTTTTTGATTCTGCGAAGGAGTTGTCGATTGGGCAGGGTTGGGTTGATGGGGGGAGTGATGACGGAAAGGTTCGCGGCAAAGAAATTGAGGATCTCCTGTCGAGCAGGTATTCATCTATCTATCTAGGTTAGGTTAGAGATGTATTGCTAACTACTTCTAAGTGCACTGGATATCAGGGAGGGTCAAGGTACCAGGTTAGGTAGGTCCACTACTTATAAGTAGATAAACGCCGGTACATCCCGGAGAAACAGTTGAAGTCTGGGTGAATATGTAGGTAGCAGACTTAAGTGTATGGATTCAGTCACCTGGAACTATTCCGTAACAACTCGCAACATGAAATCTGAAGATCAGACAGAGGAAAGTGGTGAACATGATATAATAGTCTTCAAGTGATCATTCGGCTGGTATTATATCAGCAGAGTTGGCATGGTTATCGCCGCAAGTCCTGAGTACTGTTAAAGACTCCTTTTTGACTCCATGTCAGCAATTCCAAGGGCTTGCGTGCCATATCCGGACTGTTTGTTTGTAATTGCTTGACACCAGAAAGTTGTTCTTGGATCTTGAAACTTGTTTCGAATGTAAATCGCTAACCATCGTTGGATAAGTGTGCTTACGGGCTTATGGCGCAACTCACTAACTAACTAACTATCCAACTATCTACCTAATTATCTACCTAATTATATCCAGGTACCGGTAGATATTCGGCCCGTTTCCTCCAGCTACAGATGCCCGATATATATATCCTCGGGCTAGCTACAGTTGTAGGCAGCGGCCGGTCACTAGACAAGGTGCCTGTTCTGTTACCTATCTATCTACCGCCCATTACCTACACAGCCGGCTAACTTCCTTCCCAAGCCTCCTTTTTGCCAGATTCCATTCCTACAATGGTAGGTACCTGTTCTGGAACTTCCATTAAGTATAGCATACTGCGAAGTCATTCACGAC